TTGAAAACACAGTTTTGAGAAAAACGCGTTTAAAATTTTAAGTGTCTATATAGCTGACCTCAATTTTTCAAGGCTGTATCGCCAAAACTATTTCGCGGATCAACTTGGACGTTTAGAACAATATTCTAGAAATTCAAAAAAAAAAAAAATTTATATTAATGAAAAAATCGTCTTAAATGGTTGCTTAAACTAATAATTTCAATTTTATTTAAAAAACCTGCAATCAACGATAATAAAATGTATTTGTTGAGCTTGTGTGCAAATTTGAGCCAAATCGGTTCTGCGGTTTTTCAGATATTGTGGTCACCGACTTTAAAAACGAGTTTTGAGAAAAAACCAGTTTAAAGTTCCATAAACATGCTACCCCGCACGGCGCCAACTTGCTAATTATGTCTGTAACTTCGAAAATATTTCTAGAATCTCTAAAAAGAAAATTTTTACAATATTCAAATATATATGTATATATGTAAATATACTTAAAATTCTTTTTTTTTTGTTTTTTGAAAATCGTGACTAGGCATAACCCCTTAAGTAAAGCCAAACTTGCTACTTGGTGCTCATAATAAAAATCAGTGTTTGGAATAAAAAAAAAAATATTTAAAATCATTGTATTTAGAAAAAACAAAAAAAAACTTCGATTGCTCCGGATATACCTTGTATATAACCCCAGAATATAAAAACGAGTATTGACTAAACAAAGTCACTGTTAAAATTTTAAAATACAGAGGCTATATAATATTGAGTAGTATTAGTCACTTAGACTGAAGCCGATTTTACTAGCGATAAATACATTTTATTGTTAGAATTTGAGCCACCCTACCATCACACATATACACCACATATAAATTAACGTCTTCAATATGTATGCTTGTAATGCTAACAGCAGTTGTTTGTCTGTTCCTAATGCTTCGCTATTTATTTTCATCGTGCGCTTTTATCACTATGAAAGTATTGCATTCATATTATGCGAGTATTTTTACCAACCCAACGCATTCTCTGCTTCCACAGCTGTTTTTATCCTCCTCTTTTATGATAGTGTTCGTCGATTTAGTAACCGTGAAGAATGCCAATTTGTACAGACAGCAATTATTGCTCATTGCCCATCACTTGCCAACACGACATTTATATGTACATATATTGTTGCGCACATACTTACATAAATACGTGAATAAACAATTGTAGCTGTAAAGCCACACCACAGCCAACAACAACACACTTAAACAACGCCACCACCTTCATCTTACTGCCTGTTATTTGCCACCTAAGAATAGCTGTTCCACCGAATGGCAAACTCCATACTACATGTCACTTTTACCAACCCCACCTCACTTCGCTGTGCCACCATAACCGTTGTATGAGTGTAATTGTTGTATGCATGTATATTCCGCAACAGCAACAGCAACAGGAAACTGCAAACTTTTTCTTTTGCTTTCTATCGATTTTTTCTCTTTATCGGTTGTGAAAAGCAAACTACTGTACGCCTTCCATTTCTTCAAGTCGTTGATTTTTTCTACTTCTTTCACAGACTTTCTGTTCTTCCTTTCTTCGCTGGTATCTCTTTTTGGCCACGCTAAAGTGCGGCGTTGCTTGATTGCTCTTATTCTTTTACATTATTATTTCACTTGTAGCTTTTATACAATGTGTATATTTGTTCATTTGGTCCCCCGTATTTATTGGTTGCAGTTTCAAAATGCAAATTTTTTTTTTTGGGAAATGAAAAAACAAAACAAGCTTTGACTTTGGCTGCACCGAAACTAGAATACCCTTCACAAATAAAAAAGTGTCCGTACAAAAACTTGATTTTGACCGGTCAATTTGTATGACAGCTATATGCTATAGTGGTCCGATCTATCAATCGATCAATGTTGCCTTAGACAATAATCTATTGCAAATTTGTGGTATATATCTTGTCAAATTAAAATTTTTTTCATACAAGAACTTGATTTTGATTGGTCAGTTTGTATGGCAGCTATATGCTATAGTGGCCCGATATCGCTGATTCCAACAAAGGAGCAGCTTTTTGGAAAGAAAAAGACGTGTGCAATATTTCAGATCGATAATTCAAAAACCGATAGACTATTTCACGTATATACAGACAGGCAGACCTACAAACTCTGTTTAGGGTATAAATATACATATTATAAGTACAAGTGCAGTTTGCGTAGCTCCGTACATGTAAAATATGTGCATTACAGTACAAAGTTTAAACTTTCGCTTTGTAGATAGTGGTTAGAAGCTTCGTAATTTCCGCAAAGCTTGATAAGTTGTCACACCGCGATGGTCTCACATTATTTATTTTTAATTAGTTGTATGGAAATAACGTACATATATATGTATGATATATTATATTAGTGCAATCTTTATGACATTTATTGAGAAAGTCAATAACAGTATTCTTGACTCGCCTCAAAAATTTATTTCTTTCCACATAATATCGAGTTTTTAACCACATTTTTCTTAAATATACGACTTCACTCTAATTTTGTTTAAAGCCAATTGATTCTTGTGAATGAGTTCCAGAAAAATCTTTAGGAAACCACAGCTAACTTCACATTAACTCCAAACTTAGTTTTCAGACAAAACAAAACAAAATGAGATAAGATGGCAGGAAATGTAAACTAAATGGGTTTTCTCCTAAATCCAACATATGATTCACCACTTCGTCGCATTAACACGCGGAGATTCGTTCATGTTGCCGATTAAGCAGCGTTCTTTTGCAATTGTGTTAAAAAAAACTGATAATAAATCTAAAAGTTAGTTTAGATGACTGATCCCTCAAAGGGGAACACACCTAAACTGCTTTGTACAGTGTTTTGTGAAGCTAGATAAAAACTTCTGTAGCTGGATATCAGCTATCAACAAACCTGCTTGAACTTATCACAAATCTGCTTTTTATCGCAACTCCATCGGGATGTCTCAAAGAGATCCGAGGTGTTTTAGCCTTGATCTGGAAAAGGTGGAACATTCGAGAAGGAAATCATCATCATCTTCCAAACAGCTTATGCAACAGGTATTCGGTAAAATGTTCCATATTACCACACGATTCAACTATTGCACGACAGGGATTACTGAGGACGCAGAGCTCACTAAACCTTTTACAATTGCATGGGCCAGAAGGACCTTGGGACTACACATTTGCTAGTAGTTGACCAACGCTTGCTAAACTGGTCTGAGCCCCAACCATCCAGTAGTGCACGGCAAGAGGCCAACGCCCATTATGCAGCTAGTGAGACTGAAGTACCAGACCTAGCAAGCTCATCAGCTCTACAGTTTCCTGCAATAACTGGTCAGGCACCCAAGTCACTCTTATCATGTAGTAACTCGTTGCCAGATATAATACGTCTCAGTCAATCGGAATGTCACGCACTGGAGGAGATCAACTTATGGCAGCCACTTTCGCTTGGAAGAGGCTGACATGTCAGATTAAACTCAAATTGGAGTTGATGGATAATTCCCGTCCGAGGCAGGTCTCTTATGATTTTTTTTAGCAAAAGAGATTGCTTTTGCTGTTTTATGGTCAACGGTTTGTGTTTTCTTTGTTTTTTCACGTTGTTGAAATAACAAAAAAAAATTCGCAGAAAAGGTAGTTCTCCTCTTGTCATCTTTTGTCTGTATGTGATATGAGTAAACGCTTTTGCTTCATTGAAATTAAACACTTCGCGAAACAGAAACAAAAAAATTGTAATTAATATAAGTTAAAGATGTGAAAAAATCAAACAGAACAAACAAAAATAAAAGTAGCAACATACAATATATACAGCGTCTAGCAATAGGGATGACGTGATTTTGACAGCTCGTGGCGGCCATGTTTGTTTACGGATTTATGTCAAAATTTTGTCCGTGGGTTCAGTAAGGTTTACCATAAGATTATTAAGCGAATTCACATTCTCTGGTGGCTACTGTAAAGTGACAACTTTTCTTCTCAGATGAGTCCCATTTCTGGCTTAATGGCTTCGTCAACAAACAAAATTTTCGCTATTGGTGTGAGTCAATTCCTCGTGTGATTCAGGAAACGCAATTACATCCCCAAAAGTTTACCCTTTAGTGCGGATTGTGATATGGCGGCATCATCGTGTCTTATTTCTTTTGAAATGAGGCAGGAAATACCGTTACGTCTAAACATGGACACATTGCGTGCAAAATTTGGCGTCTCGTTAATTTCTAGAAATTACCCAGTCAAATGGCTGCCAAGATCAAGCGATTTAACGCATCCACATTTTTTCCATGGCGGTATGTTAAATCAAAGGTTTACGCCAATCAACCAGCAATATCTCAAAGAGCTCGAAGACAGCATTCAGCGCACTAAAGCCGAAATTCCAGCTGAAATGCTACACCGGAACATCAAAACTGTCGTAAACGTTTGGAGATAGGCAAACGAAGCTGTGGTGGCCATTTAGTCGACATATTCTTCAAATCATAAATGGCATAAAATTATCTGTCTTACAAAAAAAAAAAAAAAAAAAAAACATCACCCATATTGACTTAATTTGTGTCATTTATTTCATTTTAACAACACGTCGTTCTTGTTGGTAGACCCTGTATATGTATATGTGCACAAGTATGTATGTATGTTTATTACTGATATTTGCACACTAAGTAGTTAAGTGCAAACCACAATGAAACCAGAAATGAGTTTCTCGCATCAAATAGCATATTTTTAGCGAAGCGTGCAAACATAACCGAGCTATTTGCTTAGGTATTATTGATGGACATAAGACGCGGCAAATCTTTAGACGAGGCATTACTTAAAATATGTATAGTATTGGCTAAGAAAATTGAAACTACGCAGTTGAAAACAACAACAATGACAATAACAGCGCAGCGCACGCACACAAGCACATGCATATGTTTGTATGTATTTATGTATGTAAATACATAAAAATGCCGAATCAGAATCGCATGAAATTTTAACTAATATGTCGCTTTGTTCAATAGAAAATGATTATTTAAGAAACTGTTTGACTGATATATGCTTTATTCTCTGCTCTGTTTCTTTACAGGAATAATTTCAGCGGAAACTGAATCCTCTGTGTGAAAAACGTGTGATGGAATAATTAGCTAAAAGATTAATATTCTAATCAACAACAACCTAAAAAATTTAACAAATTCAATACTTGAGAAAAATAAATCAAAAATTTATTTTTTCAGTTCGTAAAAAAATGCTACAACAAATCAGCATAAAGTATACTAGATGTTTTGTTCAAAAGCAAAAAATTTCTAAGATTTTTTGAGTTTTGCTTTTATTTTATTATTTTTTCGTTAAGTTACCTTCCACAACCCAACAGTGCGAAGCGTGAAGTGCGTAAATTTCAGAGGTGCTTCGTTAACGCATAACACGCGATATTTTGAAAAAATAAAAATAAAAATCAACTAACGAATGTGTTCTACAGCTTGAATTAAATAAAAAAAATTTCTAAAAATAGAATAAGTAAATTGCTTGGTTATGTATAATTTAAAAGTATGCAAATTTGTATTAATTTTAAATTAAAAAAAAAATATTTGTGAAAATGTTGCAAATAACAAGAATAGAATAATCAAAGTCAACTAGTGCAAGAGCGTCGTGATCCAGGTGAGAGTGCCACAGATAATGATAGATGTGAGTGAGTGACTGATAAAAGTGTAAACCCCACAAGTTCAACTGCACTGTAATACAAAAATACAAAATATTAAATTAAGTTCTCAATTTATTTAAAATTTACACCGCCTTATTGGTCCAACAATTGTGTCTACATAACAGCAATGTTTGTGGCATCGACGTGTTATGCCACATGACTGTTCTTCATGTTTGTTGGCGTACAATATGCAGCGTCGTCGCATAGCTAACGTCGCTGTTGCCTTTGCTGTCGACAACGGCAAACCCAATAGTGATAGTCGCAAAAAAGTTGTAAAAAACTGCAACAATAAACAAAACAATAATATTAATAATAAAATCAAAATTTACACTAGTAGCAGTAAAACGCGCTTAATAACAATATTAGAAGCAACAGCCACTGTCAGTGTCAACGTCGCGGTTACACTAAACGTCGACAGCAACGCCGAACGTGACACGAGTTATAACCGCTTCTTTACCGCCATCAAACTAAAATGCGAACAAACGCAGGTCGCGACTTTAGTCGCTGAAATCGTAGTCGTTTTAATAGCCATTTTGAGCACAGCGCCTTTGTCAACCCTACGACGTACGTCAGCTAACCAAAACTCTGTTATACAGTAACCTATAAATGAATAGACACATATTCAGTTTGAAATAGCGTTTCACAGTTATAGGTCAAGTGTCAATGAAATTGCAAGCAGTTAAGTTCTTTCAGAGTTCTAAAATACGCCTACAAAAAAATAGATTTATTTCATATGGGTTCATACAAATTTAGGCCAAGAATTTCCAAGTCTGGTCGCTTAAGTGGCATATCAATATTTCAAATTTAATGTGTGTCTACCTTTCTTGATGTCTAGATTAGTTTAAACAAGAAAAATGTTAACTTCGGTTGCATCGAAGCTATAACACACTTTACAAATACCATACAAAATGTTCCTTACAAGAACTTGATTCCGATCATTCTGTTTGTAAGGCAGCTATATGCTATAGTGGTCCGATATTGCCGGTTCCGACAAACGAACTGCTTCTTGGAGAGAAAATGACGTTTCAGATCGATATCTCAAAAACTGAGGGACTAGTTCGCATATATACAGACAGACTGACGGTTAGACGAACATGACTAAATCGATTCAGCTCGTCATGCTGTTCATTTATATAAATATTTTTTAGGAGCTCTGAAGTTTCTTTCTGGGTTTTACAAACTTCGTGGCAAGCTTAATAGTTGAAAAATATAGTATATCGTATACATATATATCGCGTTACTACTTCGCTTTCTTTGAGTTGATCTATTTCTATGAAATGCAACGTACTTGTACTGATGATCAAATTCAATTAAATTTAATTTAAATTTCTATTCTTAAAGCAGTTACCGCTGAGCGCGACCTCATCAGCGACACTAATAAAACTGACAACAATTGCAAATACATATAAAGCAACAGCAACTAGCAAAAACCCACAAACTATTAGGAAAATCACAAAAAGCAACCATTTGTGAAATTCGCAAAAGCGCTGTGTACGAATCAGTCCAGTTGGTTGATGTAAATTTATCAGTGTACAACAAATTTAAAGCTGTGACAAGCAGCAGAGAATAAAAGCAAACGAAGAAGTAAACCCTAGCAACAGTGAAGGAAAAATCGATAAAAATCGTGTGTAATGATACAAAATTAACTAAATATATATATATATACATAAATAACGCATAGAATTTAGTAGTAATTAAGTCGTAAGCATAAGTGCAAATAGGTGAATTAAACAAAAAAAAAAAAAAAACTTAACTTGAAGAAAATTACATTAAGGCAGCAGCTTAAAATCGAAACCATACCTTAAAATAATTGCAAAATCGACTAGATTTCTACATTTGGATACAGTTAATTTTCAATAAAAACATTCGTCCTGGATTATCTGCTAAAGACATTGCGCACCTTGAAAAACCCGATTATGGCCGAGAATCAGACCGCCACGGAAGATTCCGGTCAGCAATCGCAACATCAGCAGCAGGGGCAGCAGCAACAACAACAGCCGCAGTCGCCGCAGCAAGATCAGCCACCTCCTTCTGCACTTGCATCGCCTACAACACCGCCACAAGAGAATAATTCCGCATCATCGCCCGAAGACACCCAAACCGTTGTTGCACCCAACACCAATCATCATTCGCACAATCACAACCTCCGCAATCAGCATCAGCATACAAATCAAGTGCATCCCGAACAAGGCCATTCGCTTACCATAATGGATCATCATCAATTCTCTGATATGTTCAAGAGTAGCACTATAGCAGCTCAGCGCCGCAATACAATACAGTCTCACGCTCCTATACGTGCCACCAGTACCACATCGATTAAGAAGCCACCGCTGACTAAAATGACATCGCTATCAAATGCAAATACCGGTGGCAGTGCTGTTGGTGGTGGCACAAAATCCACTAATTCGTCAGACAAACATCACCATCACCATCATGCACAGAGCGCTCATCATTCGTCTCTTCACCATCATAATGTGAACAGCAGCATGAACCATCATCACCATTCAGCTTCAACGGTTGGTAGTGGTGGTGGCGGCACCACTAATGCAGTACATCGTCGTACCAGTGAGAGTTTGCGTCTGAACGCCTCTGTCAGTGGTGGCAATAATGGTGGTGGTGGTGGTGGTGTTGGTGGTTCTAGCTCGGTCGCCAATTCGTCCAATACGAATCTTTCAAATGCGACCAGCAATAGTAGCATTCACTCGAATGTGACTAATAACAGTTCCAGCTCGAGCACATCGGTTGTACCACAGTCAACATCTACTACGGCTTCGACATCGACGAAAGTCACATCGCCAAACAATAATGGTGGTGGCAGTAGTTCGGCCAGCACCAATACGAACCGTAGTCATCACAGTCATGGGTATGGTGGTGGTGGTGGAAATGGCGCTGGCGGCAATCAGCACCATACTGCCGCTTCGCAGCCAAGCAAAAAACCAAAGACGACCTCATCTTTTCAGATTACTTCCGTTACTGTGGGACATCCCAAGGTGAATTCCGATAATGGTGATGAGTCGGCTGACGACTTGGATGAATCTCATACAGATGAATCTCATAGTCGTGTTACCGATCTCGAAAATGAGACACCTTCAATGTCCGAAGATACATTCTCCAAAGAGGAGGTGTATTTCTCCAATAATGCGTTGAGCACTACAGCACCGGTGATACCGACCAGTTCACAGTATGGACTTGTTGTGGTAGATCCCATTGGTCCGTCCCTTGGACAGACTATACAAAATGTACAGGTCAACGTTTCGGACAACATTATAAATGTGGTAAGCGCTGCTGTAACGCCAGGCGGTAGTAAGAAGAAGGACGACGTGAAGGAGACGCAGCATCGTAGCGAACGTTTCAAGGTGGTTAAGATCGAGTCGACCGAGCCGTTCCGTCGTGGACGTTGGATGTGCATGGACTATCTCGATCACTCAACTGTAGGCACCGGCGGTAAGGAGGGCGGCGGTGGCAACAATAATGAAAAGACTGTTTCCTCCGAATCGGGTAGCGGCGGCAGCAGCGAACCGGCAAAGACTACACAAAGTATGATAATTGGAACGGGCGCCGCACAATTACTCGAAAATCATGTGGACGGAGTTGGAAATAGTTTGCAACTTACTACTGGGGGCGGAACTGTTGCTAATACTACGAATGATGACAACTGGAACTTTGGAGAAGGTGATGGAAGCGTAAGCTCACCAGCTCAACAGTTGCATCAGCAAATGTCTACACCATCTGGAATTGCCACGGCACCGGCTACGGTAGTACATGGCATGCAACACTTTATGTCCGATTCAGCCGGCATACAGCAGGGACATACACAGCAGCAGCAACAACAACAACAGCAACAGTCACAACAAGTATATGCTGATAATGCGAATGCCAATAATACCGGCGTTGGTGGAACCACTCAGGATGTCGTTCACGGGCAATCTTTGCCCATGGATTATGCAACAGTTGTCGCACAGCAATTGCAACAATCGTTGCAGCAACTAAAAAAACAAGAGGAAGCGATTGCCGCTTCAGAGGAAGCTGGTACTGTTTATGTACCACCACAGGCACAACAGCAACAGCCGCAACAACAGCAGCCGCAGACGCTTCCTAGCAATTTACAGTTTCAAAATGGCAGTGTTGTCATGTGTGAAAACAATAACGGTGCTGTAAGCATGCAACAGGTTGAAAATCAGCAACAACAGTCCATGCCAACAGCCTATGTAGCGCAACAGCAAAGTGGCGCCTACAGTCAACAGCAGCAACAAAACTTCCAGCCCGCTGCTACACAACAACAACAACAGCAGCAGCATCATCCACAACAGCAGCAACAACAGCATCAGCCTTCTCCTTCACAAATGATGGCCAACGACGCCATGAATATGCAACTGCAGCAACAACAATCATCTCAACAGCAGCAGCAGCAACAGCAACAACAACAACAACAAAATCAATCGGCTTCCGCACCGACATCGAAAATCGATGGCGCAGCCACACAACCACAACAATTCCAGTTCCAGTCACAAGCGCAGTCGCAGTCGCAGCAACAGCAACAACAACAACAAACACATCCACCACAGTATCAACACCAACAATCAGCTCCAGCTGGTCAAACGATGCCCATCGTAACACAATTGACAAACTATGAATTGCAGCAACAGTCCGGCGGTCAGCAACAGCAACAACAACAACAGCTGCAACAAAGTGCGCCGCCAACTATTGCTGATCCTAAAGTTCTTGCGGCCACCATACAGGCACATCATGAACAGCAGCAGCAGCAGCAACAACAACAACAATCACAACCCGTAACGCTTGACAATGTCCAAATAACCAATGCAACAACAATCGCGAATATGCAAAACGAAACATTGCAGTTGCAGCAACAGCAACAAATTCATAGTGCTAATAATATGAACAATGCTAGTGCCAATGCTAACAATAACAACAACAGCAATAATGTTGCAACTGTGACTACAGTCGAAGAACAATCACAGGCACAACAGCCAACTCCACCGGCACAGCAACAACAGCAGCAGCAAGTACCACAACCATTGCAACAGCTATCACAACAACAGCAACAGCCACCACAACAAACACAACCGAATGCAGAAACAGAGACTGATAGGTGAGTCAACATTTTGCCAATCAAATTAAAATTTCTAATGTTATGTGTATTTTTTTATTGAAATTGTTCTTATTTGCCTAAATCGAGTTTCAAAATGAAGCGAGAGTGAAAATGCTGAATATGGATATTGATAGTTGATAAGCTATTCTTTAATTAAAACTAATTAAGTACAATACAAATATCGTCGAGTTTAGCTACTTGCCTTGAAACTCACAACTGCTGATAGTCGACCAGCGCTGGCTGATTTGGGCTGAAGCCCGACAGTCCAGTAGTGAACCACAAGAAACCCAGTAAAGCTTCTACTGGTTGTCCTAAATACCTGCCGTGGCCAAGCATCCAACCAGTCTAATCATAAAATAACTCAAGGTTAATATCGTTGCGCTACTATCGGAGTTTGTAGTCACCACACTGAAGAAGCAGTAGATCTACTGCAACCTTTGTAGCAGCCACCTCCGCTTGGAACACGCTGCAGTGGCCAGGAAACCTAAAACTGGAGCTGATGGAAATTTCCGACAGTGTACTCCTCCTCCAACCCTCCTCGCAAGCTTTGATCCATACGTAAAAACAACTGACCGCCCCTCTCCTCCAGTTAGTCCTTCCATTCAATGTCTCCCTCGAGAAGCAGCAGCCAGTTCTAGGTTAGGCGACCTGGTAATCCAAGTATCCAGATTCTCTGTGTCTGATAGTAGCTTTCGCGGCTATGTGCATCGGGGCTATGTGCAGCAAGACATTCATAGTTCAAACAGTCATATTGTCAGTTGTTCTCTTTGGTTTATATTTCACCAAATGTTGCCATTATATTTTAATTACAACAAAATATCGAGTTTGGCAACCCTGCGTTGCAAGAGATTGCTCTCTCACTTTCAGCTCACTCGTTTCTACGGAAAAATTCCAATTTTCGCGAATATCCTACCGGCGGTGGTGAGTTTTCATTTATATTTCAGCTGATTCGGCCAACAGTTTTGCGTCGGTGACTGTTTAAACTATCAGTGCCATAGTTGGTGTGGTTCGTAGTGCACCACAGTTACCGATAAGCGCCGCCAGTTAAACACTCGCCAATTCCAGCGCCTTCCACCAAACATAAATTCCGTAGCAATAACAGTAAATAAACTTAACACATCTATTGCGTTTCTATAATATCACGAATATATTTGACGTCAAATATATACCGTATATGTCAAATATACATTCCGAGCGAATATCGGAAACCCACAGCATGTACAAATGTCAAAATTGGTAAACTGATCTTAAGCACTCTACTTTAAATTCACTACTATTAATTACAATTTTTTCATAAATCATAAATTTACGATTTATTATAAATTTACGTTTTAATATAAATGCATGTCACAAATTTGATAAATGCTGCCGAATTCTTTAAATTGTGCTTACCAAAAATGTGAACTCTGGTTTGTTATCTAAGTTTTCAAGTATACTGATTTGAGTAGTCATCCGTAAAGGAAATTCCTGTTATAGTATCCGCCACAAGTTTACTAACAACTATAATCCAGTAGCTCTCCGCAATAGAGGTGTAAATATAATTAGTTCTACGAATCGAAGACGCATTTTAGAGACGCTTATTAAAACCTAATACTGAAGAGAAACATATAATTTTTCAAATTCAAATCGATCGCACCTAGACAAAGGCCGACCGCAAGTGAACTTGGCTTTCCACTTTAATCAGCTACACTTCAAATTTACCTTGACTAACCTTTTATTGCAAAAACCGTTATTAAGTACACACATACATAAATATTTACATATGTATATGCTGGTCTATTCATATTTTTATGAGCGCAATGCGCTCTCACTCGTAAATTAAAGTCCGAACAACAGCCGTAGATTTCTTCACATAAATGTCTTCCAGCAGACGCTTTGATTGCTGTCTGAAAGAAACTCGGTTGCCCAAGTAATTGAATTGAACAACACGCTGGCAGTCAGTAGCTAAGCAAAAAATGAAGAGAGTAGAAATATATATACGCGTATGAATAGCCATATGTACACGTATGTACGTGTATGTAAATGCATATTAAAACAGCAGCAACAATATGTCTGTGAAATCGCCGGCTATTGCAGTTGATATTTCTGTATATATGTATATATATTTAGCAAAGATATGCTTATATGCATATATACACACAAACATACATACCTATTACAAGCTAGATTGTGCTTTTGCGCCATACATACATACATATATAATATATATACTAACAGACATGAATGCATTTGCGTTTGCGCGACTCATGCCGCCGATCGGTTGCCGGTGCTGCTGTTGTTGCACATGCCGACAATGCTGCTATTTGCCCGCTTATGCCGGTCTCGGCTGTGGCGATAGCTTTGTGGCTCAAATTGCCGGCTGGTGGCTGTCTATGTTTGTTTATGTTGTAGCGAATGCCGTCGTGGCTGTCTGCAATGCAAGTGGGCCACGCTTTTGTTGAAGCAATCCTTCTTTTTTATTATTATTATTATTTCTTTCGCTTTAAATTTGACTTCGCTGCGCAATGGCTGGCTGGTCTTGTACCCACACGCCGTCTCCCAACAACTTGTCGCATGCAACAAAGTATGAGTAGGTAATATTATATGTATGTGTGTATATATATATATATATATATATGCATTCGCATTTATGTTTGCTCAACGTCATCGGTATTAACAATTTGGCGTTTGCCTACATCTTGTTGCATTCAGTTAAGCAGCGGCAAAAATAAAAATAGATTGTGAAAAAGCGAAGCTTGCGCGTGTTCGTATTAACAAGTACACAAGCCACACTTAAAACGCACACAAACACACATTTATGTATATACGTACATACATATATATTTGCTAGTATATTTTTTGCCCAACATAAGCGTGTATAAAACATATGCCAAACGAACTTACCCATACTTACCGCTGTACAACGATATATGTATGTATGCGAATGTGTGCCTGTATGTATGTACAAACGTAGTTGGCTTATTGCCAATGCGCTCTACGTGCTACGCAACCGGCGCAATCACAAACAGCCATAATCATGGCCACAATAACGATCTTAGTCGGCAAATTTAGGAATTTCGAGATCTGATTTGTCGTTCGTCATATGGCGAATAGGCGAAAACTATACACCCTCCTGCTTTCTAAATCTGCATTCGAAGTTTCAGCGAAGACGACAATCAGCATGACGTGCTAAGTCGATTAAGCCATTAACGAGATAGCCGCTCAGTTTTTGAGATATCGATCTGAAGTTTTGCACACAACCTTTACTCCCCAAGAAGCTGCTTGTTTGTCGAAACCACCAATATTGGTTTAATATAGCATATAGCTGCCATACAAACTGTCCGATCGCAATAAAGTGCTTGTATGTAAAATATTTTTATTTTTCAAGATATTCTCACGAAATTTGGCACGTATTATTGTCCAAGGCAACAGCACAATATAAGCAGAAATTGTTCAGATCGGACCACTATAGCATATAGCTGCCATACACACTGACCAATCAAAATCAAGTTGGAGATATTTTTATACTTTTTTCAGCTATAAGAAATGCACTTGTGAAGGGTATTCTAGCTTCGGCGTAGTAGTACTCACTTCTGTAAAACCTTTGCATTAAAAATGTCCAAACTGCTACACTAATTTGTGGACCTTCACTAATAGTTTACAAAGCCGGTAGCGCATATTCTTTCCTAGTTACAAAAGTCGTTTCTCTACGCTCCCTCTCATATCCTTACTAGTATCGATATTTAGGTTTTAGTTAAATTTCTCTTTCACCAACTTACCTGCCTTGTTTGTGTTTACAATTAACTTAAATATCGCGAATATTTTGCACGTTACGGAGTCGGACGTCAATATTTTCTTCGGTGCATTTTTTAAACTCTTTCCAATAGTTATTTATTTTAGTTTTTTCTTTTGAATCGTGTGATTTGGTGAATGAAATAAAACTGCTATTAACGTTTCTAACAAAAATATTTACAGATATTGTCCCTCAAACTTGATTGACGTCAATGCTACACTTTGAAAAAAAAAATAAGATAAATTCATTTAGATAAACAATGAATTTCACATACATATATAGGTTATTTACACACTCGGCACACAAACCGAACGCTTTGTAAATATTTAGTGAGCATGCTTTCAGAGAGTATTGTCTTTCTCTACTTTTTAGTAGCTTAAAACTTTTTTGAAAAACTAAACATTTACTTATGAGATCTGACATATACATTATATGTATACAGAGGCTTATAGATATAAAAATTGCGTCGGTAACACTAAACACTACTTTTTGCGTACACACAATTTTGAAAAAGACACGAAAAATAGGGTATCCAATACCCCATATAATAACTAGATAGATAACTTGTTTTTTAAAGCTTGAACAGGGTATACCTATTACGTTTGAAACGTTGCAGATCCTATAAAGCATATATTATACATACATATAAAAATGATCAGCGTGACGCGCTTACTCGATTTAGCCATGTCCGTCTGTCTTTCCGTTTATCCGTCGTTCTGTCTGTATATACATACGTCTTTTTCTCTTCGACAAGCTGTCCGTTTGTCAGATCTGCCGATATCAGAACATTACAGAATGTGTATCGGACCAAGGCAACGCAATTTCCGAAATAATTGTTCAGATCGAATCATTATGGCCATATAAACTGAACGATTGAAATGAAGTGCTTGTATAGAAAGCTTTTTTCGTTGAGCAGATATCTTCACGAAATTTTGCATAGGTAAATGCCCAAGGGAAGGCTACAATCTCCAACCATATTGTTCGAATCAGACCACTAAAGCATATAGCTGCCATACAAACTGAACGATCGAGATATCGTCACGAAATTTGGCATAGATTAATTTCCTAAACAAAGCTACAATCTCCAAACATACTGTTGAAATTAAACTTATATAGCATATAGTTGCCATAGAAACTGACGATGAAAATCTAGATTAAGTGCTTTTATACGCTTTTATGCTATAAGAAATGCACTTGTGAAGGGTATTATAGGTTCGGTGCAGCCGAA